AGCCCTGGCACCAGCAGCTCTACAAATTAGCTAATAGCAGATCCATTAGTTTTCAAGGAAGGCGTTAAAGTAACTTTATTTCTGTTTTCCAGTGATCACTGTCAGGTATTTCAACCTTATGGACCCAGAGCTCGTAGAAACAGCACAACTGTGGTGAATCGTCAAAGTCTGGTAAGAATAGAGAAATAACAGAGCTGAAGTACTTTCTATCGTGTCCAGTTAGAAAATAGTAACAAAAAACAATCCCCCTAAAAGTCCCAAAAAAAAAACCAGGCAGATTCAATGGATCTCTGTCTTTTTCTGCTGTCACTTTTCGATTTTCCTGATATTTACATACATTTCTCATCGTAATCCATAGTTCACTATTTTGGGAAATTTTGTAGTTGAGCTCTGATCTGTAATTGCAACCATGCATGGTAAAAGTGCTACTAACAGATCAAAATGGGGATAGGGAGTCAGGGGGGAAATGTCTTCATTGGCATACACACTACTGTGAAAAAAATGACTTTCTATTTCCCACTCTGTCTAAAATTTAACCTCTTGGCGCCGGCGCCTCCCGGCCCTTTACGAGTTTTGGGGGGGTGGGGGGTTTTAGGGTCACGTGACCGCTGTGATTCGCCATCATGGCGGTCACATGATCGGAAAAGGTCGAAAGGGGAGATCAGGACCTTTCCAGGAGTAGTGGACACGTGCTGGGAGCGCGCAGGGTGCTCGCTCTCAACACGTATGTATGTTTTAATTGCACGCAAATATGCGGCTGCTCGGTGTCAAGGCCCAGAGGTCACATATTTGCATGCGATCGGCGTCAAGGGGTTAAATCTGAACTAAATGTTTATTTTTTCTTGCAATACCTGTAAAATAGGGGAAATCGTGTATGCATTCATACCTGCAAACCTCTCTTACCTGTAGCTGTATCAAAAACCCACTATCTTGCAGAAAATGCTTTTGTTACTTTTTCTTTGGGCTGATGGCTCCCAAGCCTCACTGTCTGCGTCTATTGATACAAACAGCGGGACTTGCCCCTGCCTCATGCTTGCTGATCACTGGCTTTGATTAGCAGGAGCCAATGGTTCCCACTGCCTCAGCAAAGCTTTTTTCAGTAAGAGTACTCGGCACTATGTATGGCACAAAAAGAGCACAGCTTACCAACATCAAAACAACATCCCAATGGGCAATTATTATGGACGGAACATCATGATTTAGGCTTGCAGGGCCTGGACCATTTGCCATCATTGAGGGGAAAATAAATTCCCAATTTACCAAATTATCCTACAGGATAATGTTAAGGTGGCTGTCTGCCAACTAAAGCTTAGAAGACATTGGGTGATGCAGCAGGACAATGACCTTAGGCAACAAAGTAAATTCACCAGACTGACTTCAGCAAAATAGCAATTCCTAGTCTTCTGGCTGGACTACTACTCCAAAACGGCTGGTCTTAACAAATGGGCCAAGATTCCCCCAGCTAAAAGTTGACACTTTGTTAAAATATGTATTTATCCTGGGGAATCTAAGCTTTACTAATGCTAATGAGTTGTGCAAGCTGTGAGACAGAATTTACTTTTTCCTTTTTTTTTTTTTCTCTCTCATAAATGTATTGAAATGTCACAAGTGGCATCTCAGTAGAGTTCTATTTACCACGGCAACATTGCAACCCACTGAACTGAAAAAAGTACTGCATGCAGTGCTTTTTTTTTTTTTTTCTGCATGTACTGTAGCTGGGGTGTGAACTGATAACATAAGAAAGCTAAGCATTTTGCGTGGTCTATGTCCTGGGGAAAACAGCATAGCTGGAATGCATCTAGTTTGAATGGGCCCTAATGGATAAAAATTCTGCAACATATGTTAGCCTTGAAGGGATTTGACGTTTTGCTTATCCGTCACAGATTGGTTCCAGTTTCTTGGATATCTTGTCAGAAATATTGCATGATGTACATACATGTACCATATGGTGAATTAAAATGTTTTCAAATTACCAACTTTTCAGACCTCTTGATTGCGTGCAGACAGGAAGCTTTATGTGTGTTGGGTAAAACCATCTGCCATAATATTAACTTGAGAGTGAGATCTATGTTCATATTAGGTCCTTAAAGCAGAATTACACTGTATCATCACAGCACCACAAACAAAAATGCTGTTTTAATTCTTTTTTTAATAATTAAAGTAAACTCACCCATCCATGCATGTCTCCATGCTTTATTTCTCTGAGAAATCACTGTTTAAAACACCCCCTAGTATTTTTTAGCATGACCATATTGAGTAATGCTGGATAAACATGATCCAAATATTTGGACAATATGTATTGCTGCCTATCTGAAAGCATTCGGTCCAACGATCGGCTTTGTTAAAGAGACATGCTGGAAGAGCAGCATCCAACCAGCAACCCATCAGCGCCGGCAGCCAATGGCTGCCAGTGCTGATCAGTATGTTCTGATGTGGGTGGGGGGCAGTTCACTGTCATAAAACAGTAGCTCAGTGGGGGAGATTGCCACACTAGCATCGCATAGTTAGTATGGCAGGCTCAGTTGTTTTTTTGTTTGTCGTTTTTTTTTTTTTTTTTTTTCATTCAGCTCTCAGGGTTGAACTGAAAAAAAATTAACGTGTGTACTAGATTTTGGGGGAAGATGATTCATGTAGCTTTAACTACCTGGAATCCATCTGCCTTTAGCTCAGGCATGCAGGCAGGAGGGTGTGCTTAGCTGGGAAAACCCCTCCTTTCCTCCTGGAGACTCCTGGAATGTGTGCAACTATTTTCCTAGGCATGGAAAACAGGAAGTAACTAAAAAAATAAAAAACAAAAAAAAATTATATACAGTACTTTGCAATCTATTTACTAATGCCAGGAGCATAAGGATTAAAAGTAGTCGACATTGATTGAGCGAGTGAATTTCTTCTTTAAGCTTAAAAATTTGTTTGCATATGTGAGTCAGATGTCTGTGAGGAGGCTGCAATTACCTCAAAAATTGCTGTGCATTAATCATCATTTAATAAATTAGGAATGCTAAAAAATTATTTTTTTTCTATCTCAAGGCACCATCATCCTCTCCTATCCGAATCCCAAGCAGCCGTCTGTATCAGCTGAAAAGGGTAACATAAAAGTTCTAGAAGATTGTTTGTTTGTTTGCTTTTTACCAGATCCAAACCCTAAATAGGTTGGACAAGTGAATATACCTTGAAGTGCCAATTTGGAGCCAACTTGCATTTCTTAACCACCTCCCGCCAGCCATATAGTAATATGACAGATGCAAGGTGGTGCTCTCGTTCTGGGAGGACGTCATATGACATCCTCCCATTCTCACAGCGCATGCGCGGCTCAGGGAGCACGCGGTGTTTAGCGGTGCGCTGTGTCCCTCAGACACAGCGGATCACCAACCACGGAAAGAGCCGAAGATGTCGGCTCGGTCATGTAATCAGCTGTGTCCAGTCACAGCTGATCACATGTAAACAGGGAAATGTCGGTTATCGGCATTTCTCTCCTCTCGAGCTGTCACGCTGACCGCTCGAGAGGAGAGACAGTAATTGGCTTTCCGTGGAGGGGACATGTACACTGATCATCAGGGCGCCCTGATGATCAGTGTAGCCCCAGCAGCGCCACCTGTCAGTGTCCATCAGTGCCTTGTGCCAGTGCCCATCAGTGCCACATATCAGTGAACATCAATGCCACATATCAGTGCCCATCTGAGCTGCCTTTCAGTGTCACCCATCAGTGCCGCCTATCAGTGCCAGTCAGTGCTGCCTATCAGTGCTATATATCGGTGCCATGTATCAGCGCTGCCTTTCAGTGCCCATCAGTCATGCCTGTTAATGCGCATCAGTGCCACCTACCAGTGCCTTCTCATCAGTGCCCATCACTGCAGCCTCATTAGCGCATATCAGTGAAGGAGAAAAATCACTTATTTACAAAATTTTATAACGAAAACTAAGAAAAAACTTTTTTTTTTTTTTCTAAATTTTCAGTGGTATTTGGTTTGTTTAAGAAAAAATAAAAAAAACCAGAGGCGATTAAATACCACCAAAATAAAGCTCCATCTGTCACAAAATGTTTTTAAAAATTTCATATGGGTACAATGTTGCATGACCGCACAATTTTCATTCAAAGTGCGACAGCGCTGAAAGCTGGAAATTGGCCTGGGCAGGAAGGGGGTATAAGTGCCCTGTAGGCTAATGGTTAATAATACAGTTACATAGTTAGTCTGGCTGAAAAAAGACAAAAGTCCATCCAGTTCAACCATTTACAAAAAAAAAAAGTTATAATCCTATACCCACAGTTGATCCAGAGGAAGTAAAATAACCCAGCTCCTGTAGGGGGAAAAAAATTCCTTCCTGATCCCCCCCAGAGGAAATCGGATATTCCCTGGATCATATTTACCCATGAATGTTAATATCTAGTTATATTCTGTGTATCTAGGAAAGAATCGAGGCCTTTTTTTAAAGCAATCCAAACCTTAGGTTTATATATACTTAGGACAACTATTTCAGATGTACTGTCATTTTCCCTGCCTACTACTCTAGCATTTTAATTGTACTTTACTATTCCCCATCTCTATGGGCAGAGCTCTGTCAATAAGCTTTTACTAATTAGTAAATCGATTAAAATTAAGAAATTTTTTATTACTTTTAAATGGTCTATAAACAGTGACTCAAAATGAGTTCTCAACAAAAATTAATTCTAGCATACTAGTCTCTCTTTTAGCAGAAATGACCTCAGTGTGGCACCAGACAGGAGTTCTCGATATCAAACACTGTCCCAAGTTTCCAGAAACAAGAATGTTGTTCCCCTTTGTTGCACAGTTTGTTTTTAAAGTGTACCATCCATGCTAATGGAAGGTCCACTTGCAACCTTCAACATACAGAAAAAAGAAATCTCAGCCCCTGTTCCCTTTACTTCATGAGCCATGAGTGACATGACTGTGCCTCTCTGTTTCTCCTAGGAAAATTGGGTGCTGCGAGAATGTGTTACAACAAAAGGCTATATATTGTGTTTGTGGATGAGGGTCTGTCAGTAAAGTGGACCTTCTGCTTTAACCACTTGCCGACCGCAGATAGCCGAATGATGGCTACACTGCGGCCGGCCAGTTCTGGTAGGGTGTCATATGACGTCCTCCCAGAACGCGCTCTCCTGCACGCCCCTGGTGGCGTGCACCCGGCGATCTCCGTGATCGCTATGTCCTACCCAGCAGTGCGCCCTCCTGTGCCACCCAGCAGTGCCACCAACCTGTGCCCACAAGTGCAGCCCAGCGGTGCCGCCAGTCAGTGCCGCCAGTCAGTGCCCAGTGGTTGTGCCAGTCAGTGCCCAGCAGTGCCGCCAGTCAGTGCCCAGCAGTGATGCCAGTCAGGGCCACCTATCAGTGCTGCCTATTAGTGCCGCCTATCCTTGCCACCTCATTAGTGCTGCCTATCAGTGCCGCCTATTAGTGCCCATCAGTGCTGCCTCATCAACTCACATCAGTGAAGGAGAAAAATTACCTGTTTGAAAAATGTTATAATAGAAACAAAGAAACTTTTTTTTTTTTTTTTTAATTTTTTTCACTTTTTTTGTTTATAGCGCAAAAAGTAAAGTGCCCAGCAGCGATTACCACTAAAGGAAAGCTCTATTTGTGAGAAAAAATTGATAAAAATTTCATATGGGTACAATCTTGCATGACCGCGCAATTGTCATTCAAAGTGCGATAGCGCTGAAAGCTGAAAATTGGCCTGGTAAAGAAGGGGGTATAAGTGCCCGGTAGGCAAGTGGTTAAAGAAGTTAAGGCTTGTTAAAGTTCCCCGGGGCACCCAATGCACATAGCACTTGTCCCCATAAATATTTGTGCTTTGATTGCTGATCTGCGTTGGATAGCCTGCCCCTATCCAACCACACTGGTACTAAAAGACAAACTTCTGTCTGTACACAAAGGAGAGGGGACTTACAGACACCGAGCTCACCCCCATCTCCTCTGAACACTTTCAGATGGAACATCTGCAGCCCTGTGCCTTCTCTGCTTCCTTGATTAATAAATGACTGTGCCAATAACCTCCTGCACCCTCCAGCTAGTCTGAAATAGTAGTTGGTTACCTGTGTAATGAATGATGTTGGCTGCATAGGAGTGTCTTCATTCACAAAGAACAAACCTAGAAAGGTCCGTGGCTTCAATGCTGCCTCTGCTTTCCCCATAGGAATGCCCCAAATTTTGAGCTTCTGCCTGAGTGGAGCTGCAGCACTGAAAGAATGCAAAACATTTTATTTCTAAAACACAGCACCTATTTTAACAGGGACAAGTGCTATCTGCACTGGGTCCACTGGGGGATTTGACAAACATTTGTAACTTCTGCTGAGAGTTCTTTAACCACTTCTAGTCCAGACACTTTTACCCCCTTTCTGTCCAGGCCAATTTTCAGCTTTCAGCACTGTCACACTTTGAATGGCAATTGCGCGGTCATGCAACACTGTACCCATATTAATTTTTTAGCATTTTTTTTTTTACAAATAAAACTTTATTTTGGTGATATTTATTAATTAATGGGATTTTTTTTTTTTTTTTGCTATATAAATGAAAGTCCAATTTTGAAAAGTGTTTTTCTTATAAAATTTTGAAAATAAATAATCTTTCTTCATAAATATTGGCCAAATTAGTTTATAACCAAAAATTATTTTTATTTTTACATTATTATTATTTTTTTATATTGATTTTTTATTTTATTTTTTTTACATACTGTCACCCTAGCAGTACAGTGTCACCATAGTGACACTGTACTACTAAAGGCTGTAAAAGCAATCATTTCTCATTCTCTCTGGCTGCATTCTTGCAGCCATTGAGAAATACTGTGTGAGCTGTGATTGGTCACAGCTTGTCACATGGTACAAGGCTGTTGTGAATAGCCTTGTACCATGTGACCTCTATGATCATTTACAGATTTCACACGTAGTAAGCAATGATGTCAGAAGTGACATCTTGCTTACTACTCTGCATGTGATGACTGATTGGCCAATCAGTGATCACATGATCGGGACCTCACACAGAGGTCCCGTACAGCGATCAGTGTTCCACTGTGTCCCAGGGAGCGCGCACAAGCAGGGGACGGGGAGGCCGTTTATAAACGGCCAACCGCCCCTGCACTGCTCCCGTCCGGCCATTTATATACATGGGCCGGGCAGGAAGTGGTTAAAGAACTTGGGGACAATTTATGTAAACTAGAGCAGAGAACAGTGAAGAAAAAATGGAGCAGCTGCTAGTGGCAACCAATTGGGCTTTATTTTAATTTGTGTTGGAAAATGTCAACAATGATTCTGATTGTTATCTGTAGTTCACATTTGCTCTTCGTTTCACAAATCAGTCCCACAGTGGTTTAGAAGTAACTAGGAGAGGAGCGAAGAAGTGTGCAATTCCCCAAGTCAAAATCCAGAGTATCTTTTGCATATTTTTACTTCTGTACTTTTTTTCCAGTTGAGTTTTCTTGCCATCATTTTATATATTTATTTTGATTAGGAGGAAGGCGTTGATTTGATGAATCGTGAAACTGCACGTGAGCGGTAAGTGTATTTCCTACTTCAATAAGAAATGGTATACTTCTCTATCTTTTCCATGTTATAATGTAGAGGTCTATCCAGCCTGTTCCAGTATTTTGGTTGAACTTATAAATGTTATATTTCACTGGTTAAAGCTATCATTGTTGTCAAGTTTATGGCAATATGGGCTTTCTGAAAATGGACCCATTCACACTGGATGGACAGCTGCTGGAGATTTAAAGTGTTACTAAATCCAGGACCCTGCATTCACTATATCTGGTCTCCTACAGTACACAGAACATGGAAGTGCACTTGTCTGAGTAAATATAAACTGCTAAAAACCTATTCTCGTCAGCAGTTAGAGCAGTCTTAGGACTTCTGTGTCCAGCAGAGCACATGTTAAAGATTGTAGGAAGCGTTTTATATTCTGCTCTACAAGGATGCAGAACCCCTGACCTCTGTATGGACAGTGCTGATTGGCCCTGTGCTGATCACATGCACTCTCTCAAGGAAAAAAAAAAAAAAAAACCTTTCTAGCAATACACATCAAACTGAGCATGTGCAGAGTAACTCTACACTACATGTCTTATCAGGAGATAAGAGGGGGGCACTGGAAGAAGGGGAGGATCAGAGAAGTCAGGATCAAACAGCCTTTTCACAACATGCAGAGGATTGACCCCTTAGGTTCCACAGTGAGTATACCAAGCATGCTTTACTGCATATACAGACTGATTTTACTGTTGTGGGTTTAGTAACACTTTAACTGCAGCAGTTTAGGGTCAGTAGGGGTTGATGTGGCGTACGATTCTATGAACTTTATTTGAATTGTACAAAAATGACACTTCATTCATGTCACTGTACAGTAGCACAAGGTGCTATGCTGTTGTACTGTGACATGCCATTCTGTACAATCGGCTGCAGTGTAATGCAGCCTGTCTTTATTTTATCATAGCTCCATGCTGTATTGCAGTGTGAATAGACCACACTTTGTTTTCTGTGCGTCTTAGCAATGACTGGTGTTTTACAGTGCAGTAAAACATCGGTCACCGCACATAGTGTGAATTAGCCCTAATACAGGTTGCAACACTGATGGAGTATAGTATCTCATAGGAAACAGTGCATGCAATCCTATTTCAGTTTATGACATTTCGGAGGTGAAATGGTTGTTTTGAGATACAGCACATTCATCTTTGCCTTACTGATAAATACCATTGGTTGTTCTGTAAGGACCATTGTATCCGAGTGCTCATACTTCATTCTAACAGGAAAGGTAAAATGCAGAATGACGGTTCAGTTTAACTGGAACTCTCCTTTGCATTTGCTTTGGTCTCTGCCAGGAACCCCAACAACACAGCAAAGATATCTTGCATGAATAAAGAAAAGACTTTTAAATCTAATCCCAAGGACAAAACTATGTTGCATCTTACCTGTTCTTAGATGTAGTGGCTGCATTACTTTACTTTTTCAGAGATTTTTTTTTACTTTTATTTCTGATTCTGCCAGTAAGGGTTCTACCTAGGGTCAGGATGCTCACGTTACCATATCTGTGGAGGAACAGTGTTACCCCACAACAGAACTGCAGAACACCTCCCCCTCTCCTGTTCTCCATAACATAGGGGAGCACTATTCTGTAGTCCACAGAGAAAGCTGGAAACAATGCTGATAATAGCCAGCCCAGGTAGAATGTACATGACATTGGCTCACAAGATTTCTGGCAGGATTAAAAGATTTATTTTTTTTTCTTTTCACTTATCGGAAAACCCCTTTTCAGTGGTGTAGTTAACAGACCAAAACCAGGGAATAAAACAAGTTTGTTGTTGGGGTTTACATACACTTTGAGTCAGAACCATCTTACCTTGCTTTTATGGGCACATTGATTATGTGTGTTTTTCAGTAGCTGTAGGTTTAGCAGGAATAAGGTTTTAAATAGCTAAAGGTGACCTTAAGGCAATGGGTTGTTTTTAAGATTTACTTTTACTGTGTTTGTACACAGCATCCTTTGTTTATAGCACACACTGGTGCTGTAGTATGTGTAAGATTTATATTTATTGCTTTGAGCTTTCTAGTACCCTCTTGGGATGTGGTAAACCAGAATGCTTTGTCATATAAACAGTGTTGAAGCAGTGTAGGAAAATATCCATCTAGTATCAACATGGAAATAGTTATTCCCTATGTTTATACAGTGCAGTGGTTCAGAATACATGAAGTCCCTTTTACATACATTCTATGTGCCTAAACATTAACTATTTCAGTGGCAATGTATGCCACCCTGCAGAGTATCTAGCCAAGTTTGTTTTGAAAATGACTTTTCCCTTAAGCTGACCATAGATTATGATTATTTTTTTTTTTCTTTCAAGGAACGAAAATTGCTCGATTTTTCCCTTCAACACGGCCAGTGTTCAGGGGGAATCCCTCCTGCTGTGCTATTGTATTCTGACAGTAGGAGACTTCCCTGCCGTCAATACAATGATCACTGTTTGCAGCTGTAGACACTGGCAGTGATCATACAGAAAAAAAAAAAAAGTCAATGGATTGACTTTAGCACAAACAGCCTGCCCATAGATGGATTGAAATCTGGACGGTTCCTGCTGAACCAGTTGAATTTTGATCTGTCTATGGCATACTTTTATTCTGTATTCATAAGTAAAATGAGAAATAAACTTGTAGGAAAATAATGCCTGAGAATCTGTACCATGCGAAATACAGAAAGCTGCCATTGTTGTCTGTCTTTTTGGCTTCACTGCTTTCAGTCAAATTAGACATCTCTTAAAATGGAGTCAAAATGTCTGATCCACACAGTGTTTCCATGTCTTTGCCTCCGAAAGTATTGAAGCCACTGGATTGATATGACATCCAGGCAGCAAGTATATTTAGAAACTATTCTCTTGGTTTAGGTTCCCTTAAACCATGTGTATCCTTTTTACTGTCTCCTTGAGATGCAGAAATCTATTTGCTTACTCATCTTGTCTTGTTTGTGTATGGATAAATCTTTTAAAGCAGTAGTACCTACAGGAAAGCCTGTAAGGCGGCTTACCTGTAGGTACAGTGAAGATCTCCTAAACGTGCACTGTTTAGGAGATCTTCACTACTGCTGCAGCCGAGTAAAGTCATCGGCGCATGAGCTCTGAAGGGACGGCATACTCATGCCATCTCTTAACGGCTGTGACTTCCACACACATGCGCAGGAGTGATGTCATCACAGCACAGACATTCAAGCTAGTATGCTCTGCATATGTTATAATAACTTGCAGGTGGACATTTTTTTTTTCTTTGACTATACTACTGCTTTTAACCAGTTGAGGACCCAGCAAAAAAAAAAAAAAAAAAAACATAATTGAAGTACACAAGAAATGTCAAATAAGACAAGCTTCAGTGCAGTGCTCCTAAAACCAAAACAAAACTACTCAGTCCAGGATGTGTATCTATAATGTCCATACGAAAAAAAAACCTCACCTTGAATAGGTGAAATAATCTTCATATAAATCTCCACATAATAGTGTACAAAACTCCTCCCCAGGTGAAAAAACACTTTCAGTGCTCCCTTAACAGTGCCCAGATCAAAGGCTTACCAGAACTGTATGACCCTCAGAATGAGAAGTCATATAACACTTGAAAGTGACCAGCTCAAATTCTGGATATATAATATCACCACTTCATTCCAGTGTATATATCTACAGCCACTCAGGAGAATGTGCATGGAAAAATGAGAGCGCTCCATATAGTGTAAAAACAATTATACCAAATATTGATTAAAAAAAACATGCTACTTACATATCTAAAACATAGACAGTGCTGTACAAATCAAACTCCCCAGGGGAATATGTAGATCATTTCCAGATTCTGTAATACGGGATGATGCTATGAGCATGGGCCCTGCCCTACATGTTTCTTCCAAAATTACCTCTTAGGGCAGCGGTTCTCAACCTGGGGGTCGAATGACCCTTTCACAGGGGTCGCCTAAGACCATAGGAAAACACATATTTACGATGGTCTTAGGAACCGAGACACCGCTCCTCTATCCGTTTCCAGGCGGGTCCGCCCACATGCAGATACGCCCACATATGAGTACCCGGCGTGATGACATCCCCCATCACATACACCCCGTACAAATACAGGTGTATGTGACAGGGTTGGTGCCATAATGTACTTATGTGGACCAGTCACACATGTGTAGAAAGCAGCTACTGTGTAGAAAGCAGCTACTGTGTAGAAAGCAGCAGTATTGGAGGTAAAAGGACACTTCATGAATTATAATTATAATTGTTTTTGTGATTAATCACTATGCTTTAATTATGTTCAGTTTGTAACAATGAAAATACATCAAGCATATCAGATATATACATTTCGATTCATAATAGTAGCAAAATTACAGTTATGAAATGG